TCAATAAAGAAGAATTATCACATCTTGTCGAATGAACAAGGAGGGGAAAAGTTGTTGACATTTCAATACTGTTTTAAAATCAAACATCAAAGATCAACACCAAGGCACATGACCAAAATTTGTGACTAAAATTAGGACTACACATTAAGTTTGGCTTTTTTAGACATTATTACAGTTCTGAGCCTTGTTGTCACAGATGGCAAGTTTAATGGTTATTCATAAATACCTTAGACAGTTACATGTAAGCAATTTCATTTTGGTTGATGGCCAGTATTAAATGGTTGATAATGTACAGGTATGTGCCATGCATGCGCCACTCTCCATTCTAAGGAGATTGGAATAAGACAATTCACAACAGGCATATACATGTACCATGACATGGCTAGAAGGATGTTTGGGGGAAAAAATGAAATAAAACAAAACTATTGGAAATTTGTTCAGGCTCAGGTTAATGGACACTGAAAATGCTCTTGCCTGCAGCTTGGGCAAAAGTTGCATCCGCCATTTTCCTGAGCCGGTCTTAAACAAATGTTTAAGACCAGCCAAGCACAGTCCTCTATTTTAGGAAACAAATTTGAGGAACATAGAATGTGTTCAAAGTTAATGCTTATCAACAGAAGATGCTCAAGTTTCTCCAACTCCAAAATCATGCCTTGATTGTCAAAACAGTTTACAGAACTAAACTTCCCCTTAAAAATGTGCCTTTTTCCAACTGGCCCCAAAAATTAAAGTCCAGCTAATGAAGAAGTTTCTTCTAGTCAACACTGTGAATCTATGGACACAAGGCACTGGCAGTTTACAGTAAACAGTAAAAGCTATGGAGGTTGATTACTTTTCCCAGTGTAAGGTGGTGGCTGAAAGAAGAGTTAGTATAAAAATCCCAATTGGCCAATTTAGCACAGGTTTTGTTTGAGATAAGTCAATTTACACAGTGGAATTGTTTCCATTGCTGGCATGCCTCAGCAAGCACTATTGTGGTTTCTGACAGTTTCCAGACAGCTACAAATGGAAAGCAGGGTCATAACAGAGTTTATGAACCAGCAGCCTTAAATGGATATATGTATAATTTACAGGGGTACATTCCTCACAGCATATCTGTTCCATTTTGATCCAATACCTAGTTTTACTACAATGTATGTTCCATCAAAATTGATATCACAAAATGAGACAGGTGCAACTTGACAGTATTGTAAACTACATAATTATGTTGCCAAAATTCTCTGGGGACTACACATCAATATACACATTACAGTAATTGCTTGAAGTGATGATTGTCACACATTTGAAAGTTGTCAAAGTACAAAGGGCACAAAGCATCAAACTTTTGGCAAACAATCTAATCCCCCCCCCGGCTACCTACATCTTCATCAAGAAAAAGAGACTGATGGCCAACCATTTTTACTGCACATTCCAATAAAAGAATTGGACATTAAGTGTTCTGTACCATACAATGTATGTGCACAAGCCTATGCAAACATCTGGTGCATTACCCCAGTGGGGAGCCAGGGTAAAAGGTGCCATCTCTTCATACACTCTGCTCCAGTCTATTCAAAGCAATCATCCTGATAGCCCAGCACTCTTACTCCATATCTAATTTGGTTCAGTGGGTTTGTGGAAGATGTACATGTACACTGTACATGTACGTATACATACACATGTAGAGCCTATTCACAGCCCCCCCCCTTCAACCACCAGAACCACCCCTCCAACCCTTTTCCACACTAGTTGAATCCTCTGTTTTATACAAATGTGTTTTTCTTGCCCTGAGGAGAGATGGCCCTAGGTTTCACATAAACAATAAAGACACTGATCTTTGCTACATAAATAACAATGTCGCTGGGAAATTTCCTTGATATAATAGAATTTGTTACAAAAGGCTGAGGAAGAGTACTGAAAGAGTTGAAACTCTTGGGAATTTCATAATTTGGTCTTTATAACAAAGTCTGGTTGTAAGAGGGCTCTTTTTATTGAGAATGGACTGTGCTTAATTTCATGCCAACCGAAAGGCCACATTGTATTTGAATGAAAACAAGTAATAAAGCATAAAGCGTATGGCCAACTCTCCCAGACTAAAGTTCATCCAACTTTTTATCCACTTCACCAGCATAACTGTACTTTCCAAAACTTTTATGGGCCAGAGATCTCAAGAGAATTCTAGTGACAGATCATCATGTATGCCACCTGAACACCCACTGAGTTCCTAAAAGGTTTCGGTTCCAGGTAATAACTGGCCACAGATGAATCTCACCCTCTTGCATGCTGTGGTGGCCACTGTGGTGGGGTGATGTTAGGGATGTGAGGATGGAGTCCTTGGCTAGATCATGGAGAAATACCAGAAGCATGGTACAAGGAAGCAATAAGGGAAGACATAATAATGCCAGTTAACAGTGTTACCAAGGATTCTGAGATAAAGCTGCAGCCCACAGGTCTACATGTACATGTACATGTAGTTCACCATCTGGCTGAAGACTGATTACTTTGTGGTGGTCTGTGACTACAACACACTGACACTTCCCACTCTTTTTACAATTCAAACCTAATCTATAGATTACGATTCACTTTCCCAAATGCCAGTCAAATTGTTACATTTACAAGACAGAGCACGCTGTACGGGTTTCACACAAGCAACCATTTTCAAATGTTCTCAGAACACAATAAGCTGTTGAATTTTTGTCCAAAGTCACAGAGTGTCCAGTATTATGTACAATACAACAGTATCCACAGCTGTTGTGAATATTTCTTAGTATAGAATCACAGAAATAAGTAAATTGCAAGACCAGTGATCTGATGTTTGTTGTGAAATGCTGTACGGTTACCTGTAGTACTTCCTTAGTCTACGCCTTCCCAATAATTTCAAGATCACTTAATCAAAAACATACCTTTTGTTACTATTTAGACATATTTTATCAGTTATCACTGATTTGATGTTCAAAGAAATACATGTACATGTAGATACAGGCATTCTGAGGAATGATTTTAGAAAAGTAAGCTATCAACTTCAAACCAACTGCACCAAGACTAAAGAAAAAACAGTTTTGATTATGTTCTCCGAAAAATAATTTCATATTCCTTTTTTTTTCGCATTTCTTTCTAATAATAAGAGAGAGGCACAAAGTTCAAAGTTCCGCATAACAATGGCAATCAACAACCCTGCGATACCAACTTGCTAGATGAAACAACAACCGGCAGTGAAAGCAATACATTGCCCCTGTTGAAAGAAAAGGTTGGTGTTTGATTATTTACTCAATTTTACAAGATGGTTTTTTTCACTGCAGCCAAGATTTGCCAAGGAAAGCCCCGGAGGGTCTGCCAGTACATGTATTTTTACACACCCAGGTATTTATATATGGTTTAAACTTCCAATCCCGTAATCATTTGGAAACAGTCCAAAAGGTGAAAAATTCTTTTACATTGCCATAAAAGGATATGCAAAATTTACTTCTGAGTCATTGCAATCAATCTTATTACGACTAAAACAGCTTCAAAATACAATCTGCACAGTGTTTGCCATTAAAACAAACTAACCAGGCAAACAAAATCAGGAATCCTTTTTTTGTTTTGAAGGAGACTTGTCAAACAAAATAAATCAATCACTTTGGCTGGTAAATACACAATGCACTGATGACCATAACACAGATGTCTCTACTGGGTTAGAAAACAATATTTCCCTTGATTTAGACAGCTCTCAAATGGGTGCATAGCTGTAAATACGTCACAGTCAATAATTACAACAAAGATGCCGTTATTTCATGGAGCAAGGATGGTAATTCAATTCATGGACATTCTTTCTCACAAAAGGCGCAATGGAGACTAGTGCAAATTTCAGACAGACAGATCTGTTCAGAGGAATGTAGAGGAATGTACTGTATGATTTACATGTAGGTAATAAATTATAATTTGGGACAGATACAAAGTTTTGAAAACCATGGATAATTAAGCAACTTGAGGAAACAATTAAATTTATCAAGTTTTGTTTGAATTTGAATCTTACTAGACAAGATCTGAAATATAAAAGGAAACATATAAAACATTAACAATAAATTCAATGTAAACCTAAACATTACATTAAATATATTCAAATGTAATGTTAAGAGCAAAAGTTTTTTGTTTTTTAAATTCAAACATAATACCGCATTTGTATTCTGTTCACATCTCAACTAACCTTATTTCTTCTAATTGCAAATTCACAACATCCGATTCTGTCAACATATTCAAGCCTATGTGGAAAAAGCAGACTTTAAAAACATGAGGTTTTTTCTAAATTATGTATGCAAAATACACGAGGAACTAGTCATAAAAAAATAATAACAACTACTGTACTCACCAATATTCGTCGAACAAAAGGACGAATCACTCGATAAGCTGATCTCACTATGGCTCGAAACATAATTGAAAGTAATAGCTAAATAAACCGAATATGCGAAGGTCAGTCCTTCAGAGAGTCCGCTTTTAAGTTTGGAGACATGTTTCAAGAGACGTCCAAAGAATACTGATGATATTCCTTTCCTTGTTAGTATCACTAGTGAAGTAGAAGATCTGCTTTTAGTGAAAATTGGAACAAATGTTGATCACATCATTATGTTTTGGAGCAGAGTGTGCTGATGGGCTGAGATGAAACACAATCAAGAAATAATCCTCCTACCGATCCACCCACACACAGCTTGTGGTTTCCAAGTTGACCAAACAAGTCTCTGGTTTTAATCCATCTTTGATGAGTTGATTTGCAGGGAACGGTAAAGATGACATCAGACTGTTAGTGCCACAAACCATACAGTCAAACACTGGCCATTTTCAGAAGTAATCGTGACACTTGGTGGTGCTTCACTTGAGATAAATTCATCGAATGAGAGCACAGAGAAGATGTAGGTGTTGCAACATGGGGGTTGCTGCTGTTTGTCTATATTTGAGCAGAAGTATGTGATGGTCCTCCAGGTTCTTTGTGCTGCAACCTTCCCTGGGCTGTGGGGCTAAGCTTGGGATAACGAGCGACCAGTAAAGAGCTTTCTTGAGCTCAAAGGGTTCACACAAAAGCCTAGTGACACTATTCACAAAGAAACAAACTGCCTTGTCAAGCTATTTCATCAGGATCAAATCTGGGAGCCACGCTGCTATTCAGTTGGTAAAGCCCCCTATCTCCATGTCGGCTCAAAGGACACAAGCCAAGACTGTATTGAGAGAGTAGCAGCTTCTTGTTATGCATGAGTGACCCTGGTACTCCCACCAGGCAGCATAAAGCGCTGGAGTCCTATAGTTTACGCACACAGCTAACTGCTCAAGGACTGTCTACTGTAACTGGGGAAATGATGATGGGTCTCACGTGGTGGGCAATGTGCACAGAGCCCCGCTGCAGACACCACTGCTGTCCCCTCCCCTTACACTACACATCAGACCACTGTTTGACCTGAGGGTAGGGCTTAGCGTGATACCAGGATCCCATCAAAGATGCCTTTGTTTGGCCTGGGTGCTGTAAGGCCTACCTCTCAAGTGAGTTCCTAAAAAATTGTCCTGGTACAATGTTATTAGGTTGGGAGCAGATGGGACTTGTCCTCAGGAGAGGTTATTCAATGAAAGTGAAAGGGAAACTCAGCTAATCCACACCATGGCAGTGTGAGGAAATAAATAATTGATAAAAAAAAAATCAATTTAATAACCTCATTTAAGCAGTCTTCCCAGCATCTAGACCTTGTTTACATTGCCCATTTTTTGGCTTTTTTTGGGTGGGTGAGGTTTAGATCAAACTTGTTGAAAAAAGTTAACACCACTGACTCACCAGTTAGTGGTAGATTATGTGGACCTAGCTAAAATCATTCCTTTTTTACGACAAAAATTTGAGCCATTTGAAATGGTCAAGTCTTTGAGGTTGTGGGCACTGCACAGAGGAATCTTTTCCTATTCCTACATATCATTATTAAAGTGATGACCATCCCCACTACTGGGGAAAGAAGACGGAAGTGGGCTGGATTAGAAATAACAAGTTACACAAGTGTACAATGACCTCAGTGTATTGAGCCCAGAAAGAAAGTGGAAACCTAGCACTGGGAATCAACACCAATGACTTTTCTTTCAACTTTTTAGTGGCTTCTCTCTAAATCACTGCCAACTCATTCAGGGCACTTCAGGCACATACACCTCACAGAACCGCCATACAAGTAGCTCTATGATCACCAAGACTACAAAGCCCAGCACACAGTCATCACTTTCTAAGACTCCACTCAGTCCCTGCAGGGTCCAGTTCAAGGACCAACTGCAGCTCCGGAGATTGGATTAGTGGTCATAGCAATTAATCCTCTTCTGCTGATATAATGCCAAACCAAAAAGCCAAAAAACGTAGGAAAGATCCATTCACGATGAAATGATCAATCGACTGTGCATACATAAACTGTGCCTTTGTGATAATACAGGGTTAACAATCCCTGTTTTGTATGCAAAATCAGTGAGTCCAGACATCTTTTTTAAGGTGGTGGCAGGTTTTTAAACTTTTTAGGCCATGAATTGTGTATTTTCACTTAATTTTCAGACATACATGTACATACATTAGAATATGTGCGAAAAGTTTGGTAAGATAGTACCAAACTCAGGAAAATGTTCATTAATAGGAAATTGGATGGAGTGAGTTTGGCGGGAGGGCTATTCAGAGATTTGGCTGAATTACCCTTGCATTTGCAATACAGCACCTGTATACAATATCAATTGTGTTTAATTTATATTCCAAACTTGAAGTACTGTAGCACCAAGCTTCTGTTCATTGCCGAAGAAAGCTTGCAGCAAAGCTGCTTAATACAAAAAGGCATGATAATAATCTTGTCCTACTTCAGGCAGCATTTCTGTGATTAAGATACTGGTAGATTTACAGAACTTAATCAAAAACAAAGTTAGCTTTTGTGGCTAATTAAAACAGATTTGTGTATGGCTCTGGCATCAACTGAAATTTACACTGAAATTACTATTTCTCAAAAAAAAGATCTAAATTGAAAACATATGCTTGAAAATATACTTTTTGAAAAGTTTTTTTTAACCACACAAAGACAAAATACCGCTATTTTGGTGAAATGAAATTTTTATGTTAAATCAAAAAGGTAGTTTGGGAATCGAAATTGAGTCACAAAGCAGAAACAAATGGAACTGTTGACAACAAAGCACACCCGAGAGTCCAGGGCCAGGGCCAAGCAGAACGGATAGACCTCATACACACACATCTGGAAGACCTCGGAGGCATTTTGTTTGAGCATGCACTGTTGGAATACCAAATTTGCTCACTCAACTGGTTTTAAATTCATAATACCCATGAGACAGATAATGCAAGCCATTCTCTATATCAAATTAAAAGGTTCAACAACAAAACCAAAAATTAAAATTACAATGAAAAATCAATTACGAGTACTGTCATGAAAATAATTTGATGTTTTTATGTTAATCAATACTAATAAGTGTTACTTTTTGCTTAAACATCTGCAATTTAAGTAATGGACTCACTCCAAATTTGAATTGATATGATTCTCATCCTGATAACTTTTTAGAATTTCTGATATTCTTTTCTTTTTCCTTGCTTTATTGGCAGCACGAACAATCATAAACCCTACCAAGGAAATGCTTTAAGCATGGAGTGCAACGAATATAGGGATAGCAAGTCTTCATAGATGACAAGTAAATTTAGTTGTTTATACACCTTGAAGTCTCTAATGGTAGACATTGCTACCGATGAACAAGCTCAAACCATGAAAGGTAAAACTTGGATTTTGGAAGACTAGGCCTGTACAATTATGAGCTACTGATGGCGCTATTCCAGTCTTATCTAAAAGTTCATTACTAAAGTTGCTTACTAGTGCAGATGTCGTAACCACTCGACCACCGAGCTTGCTGGGGTCGGCTGGTTGGTCCGAGTCAAATGAAGCAGCGGGTACCGTGAACTATTTTCAAGATGAGGTCGTGGGTTCGAGTCCCATCCAAGTAAGCTTGTGAGGTTTTTTCGCAAGCTCTCAGACAAGCACTGAGCATACAGTGCTTATTAATATACGTTGGGTAAGGGCAAAACCGTTATATATAATTAATATCTCCCCAATGCAAAAATACATCTTGAAAATCAATGCAGCATGGTGGACCTCTTTATCGGAATGGCAAACTTGGAACAAAAAGTAAAACCTTAAGGGTAAACTGCGCACCGTTCAACTGATTTCCACATGTCTATGAACAGTTGGAAACTAAATGGGCATGCGGAATCCCAAATATTAGGCCTGAAAACACTAATTCTTTGATGCAGATCTGGATCATGATCAGTGATCCTACTTTGGTTAAGTGACATCAGAAGCCGCATGATGGATAGTGCAAGCATGCTTTGGGATAATCATGATCCAGGTCCATGTGAAACAAACAGGTCCTTTAAAAACTGTTCACACACTTTTAATTGGTAACTACTACGTAACATTATAGTTACAAGGGGGAAGTTGAAATGTCAGCATAAGTATCTGTTATAATCAGTCCATTTTTAAAAGACTCAAACTTAAACTTATGAACTCCTTACGTTTCTGGAGTCTGAGATGAAATGCGTGGGAGTTACTGGTGACAGAGCTACTGATGAGAGTTCCGCACATCAGTCTTTTATCTTACACCAGCTTTACCTCGTTATGACCTCTGAGTCCTTGCCTTCTGGAATATGAAGCTAGTGGGAGGGGGATACTGGTGACAGAGCTACTGAAGAGTTTGACACATCAATCTACTTGTCCCAATCCCAGTTCAAATCATGGCCTAACACCATGTCAATGAAGTACAAATGCTCCATGGGCTGGAGTCTTGGCCACTCACCCTTGAACAAGCTGTTTTGACCGAAATGGATGGACACATATGCAGGAAACTACCAGAGGATGCAACACTGGTTATTTGCAGGGAGTAGACATGGATAAAGTATAAATCCAGGGGTGGTTAGCCTGATTTTGCAGGTCTGAAGTTATTCAAGCAATCCTACCTGAGATAAGATGTAATGTAAAAAAACACTGTCAGAAAACTGCATACAAAATCATGTCCAAACACTGTAACGTCGATACATGTACATGTACCCCACACCTATACGTTCTCCTACCCTGTGGTTTTACAATGTGGTATTTTTTAGCTGGATTAATCCTCTTTTACTGTATTGATTTTTTTTTACACAGAGGGCATTCATGCTTCCAAAGGAACAGATAAGTAGGCCTGGTCCATGATTGCCCTAGGCTTCACTGTATACATTTTAGAGCTACCCTACCTAAATGCAGACTTGGTTACAATGAGTGTAAGGACACGCCACCTTTTAACATTTGGACAAGAGTTTTCAAGGCACTGGCAATGTTTACTTACGTGAAGTAATTTACGGATTAAAGAAATATGACAATTAAAGAAGCCTTACTTTGATTTGTGACAATGGCTCAATACTCAGTGCACTCCAAGGCACTTTAGCCTACGATGAAGTTATGGCTAAGATCTGGACTAAACTTAAAATAGATAATCAAATAAATTAAATAAACTTGAATAATATTCTGGCAATGCAGATCCTGCTAGGTCCTATTTATGCATGCCTTCAGGCTAAAATTGGTAGGAAATTCACATACCCTAGCCAACACCCTCCTCGAAATGATTCTTCAACCCTTAGATTCTGTAAAACTAAAAGGAAGACTCTCCGAAGCTACAGAGGTAATTTCGAGCATGTGTGCCAGAAGTAATCAAAAAGAGAAAAGCAAAGGCCTTGTAACTTAGTTATAGGCCTAGGCCCCTGCACTTTTCTCTTAGACGTCGCTTCAAAAGGCACAGGAATAGTTTGTAGGACAAAGCTAACTATCTTCGCATTAAAAAAATAAAGACAAAGCACTCGTTTTTCATGGAAAGAGATGAACCGAACTTCTCTAAAGGCACATGTACTGCATAACTCCCTGTCAGATTAATAACTTCATCATTCTCGCGGTCGGCGTAACGTCACTATGGACTTTTAACACACGGCAAAAGGGCAAATTTACCCTTCGTGTGCGCGATTGCTCGACTTTGCAGGACATCAGTCCATCACCCAGTCGATCTCACGGGTGCACTTGTGTAAGTACGCACAAGACCGTCCGAATAAAACTTACACACTCAACATATTTTATATTCGGAAGTTGTAAGAGCCATGAAATTGGGGAATTGAAGAAATATTGTATGGAACCTCTGGCCTAGTCTTAAGGTTTCTTATTCTGAGAAATCGGGTCCGAAATTGGCACTATTTAGCCGTTTTGCAGAGGGATGGTTTTTCAAAATGGCCACTTTTCTGAGTGGGGCGCGTATTTTTTATTTACACCGTAACGAAGGGTTTTTCGCTCTGATAGTGCTAATTCGTGCTTGAAAAGAGACTACAGCTGCCTGAACCAGTCGGACCTAGAGCGAGCGCGTGAAAACACGAAACGATGGTGCCAGAGTGCCTGGGGTGATTCCTATCAAGTTATTTCTTTGGTGTGTGTGAAAAAAAGCAGAATTTTAATCACCACCGTGATCGCTGGCTTGATAAGCTAGGATAGCCACGCTCACGCAGTGTTTTTTAGCATTATTATTTTTTTCGGGGAGGGGGATAAAATACAAGTGCGATGTGACAAACATTATGAACGATTTAGGTGGGTCATTAATGAGGGTTGTTTTCAAGCAAATTGCGATTTCCACCCCTTTCAACTCTCTTATTTCATTTTTTGTTTCTTTTCCATTTTAAAAAAAAAGGTTGGTCTTGAAGCCTTGATTGCAATCTCGTCTGTGTCATTTCCTCTAGGCTTGTTCACCTTACAGAGTCGAAAAAGCAGACAGGTTATGGCTTTGCAGCAAAGTACGTCAATAATGCTTCATATACCTACGGTAAAAGACTCTCAATATCAAAAATTATTACTGCTAGCTGTGCACTGTATAGCACAGCAAAGAATTATATCAAAAATTCGAATCCTTGGTGCGCCACTGCCTGTATGCATTTGAAGCATGGAAGGAGGGAAACAGTCGAAAGACTCAATAAAATTTTCACCCATTGTGAGCCTAGTATTTCGGTCGTGAAGTTACGTTTGGTTTATTCACGTTTTTGCATTGCGTGGGCCTACCACGATCCCTGGCGGAGCTTTCTCATGACATTTAGCAGCACCTAAAGCTATGCAATAACGAGACGTCTTCCAGTTTTTGGTGACATGCATTGAAACCCTTTAGACTGTCTTAACGATTAAATATTATGTCATTTCCCGCCCCTACATTAAATCCCATGCGCTAGTGTATGTACTCAGCACTAGTCTCTTTTCATGCGTGAATCGGCACCACCACAGAAAAAAGGGCTACAGGGTGTAAAAAATAAATAAAAAATAAGCAGGCGGGGCATTTCCTTCGTCTTAGGGATGGTCTGCTTTGGGTGAGAATTTCTCGAAAATTCATTGGTCGATCCACTAAAAATGAAAGGAAAATGAAAGGGCCATGTCGAACATCCTGTTTCTTTGCAGCGTGGACACCTGTGGGAATTTTATTTTCAAAATAATATTGAAGTATGGGAATCTACTTAATTATGGGGGTGCACCCTCACGATTTGTTAGCCTTGGTCATAAAGGCTGAAGTAATGTGGTTTATTGCAATACATGTCGTCGCTGTGGTAAACTGTATATCGGAGAGACCAATCGTCGCCTTGGTGACCACTTCGCGGAACACTTGCGCAGTGTGCGCCAACAAAGTCACACTTGGTCCCAGTGGTCGCAGCACTTTTGTGCGCCGCGGCCACATGACGTAAGTGTCTGCATGTGCGTGATGCGTCGTGTGCTGTCGAATTTTGCTTCACGGTGTTTATAAAGAGCGCCATCACCGTTTTCTTTCATTTCCGTTCCCCGCACTTCCAACATATAAACCCTGAGATGAGTAGCAGGCGTTGATTTTTTCTTGTTTTTATTTCATCCATTCATCAATTTGCATTAGTGTTTGTTGAAAAAAAATGAAGAAGAGCAAATAGAAAATCTGCGTAAATAGGAACTGTTCTCACATAATAAGTTTAAGACACCCGGCCTGGGCCGATCCTTGTTCCAATTTCCGTCCAATTTTTTTTAGACCATTGACGAAGTTCCCATTTGTGGTAGATTTTGTAACCTTATAGATATTTCTCTGTGGGTTGTATTGCAGTGCAAAATCGGACAGCGCCGCCTGGTGACTACAAGGAAAGGGTTGGGCTCCCGTTTCCCTTTGGAAATTCAAGATTATGGCCAGAAGTTCACTTTTCTTTGCAATTTTATTTGGGTCAAGCAAAGTTTTTTTTTATTCGCCCTTCGCCGAAAACACCCCCAAAATAGGAGTAAAACTATGCGCTCATCTCTCAATGTAGCCGCTCGCCTCTATGCAAAATAGGACCACGGGTTCGGGAGGGTTTTGTGAGCGAAATACATGTACGAAGAGTGAGACCCCAGAAGGCTCCAAAAAGGTTCGTGGTTTATGAAAATATCTCTACCGTCGCTCTCGATGATAGCACCTCTTATTGTAAAATCTCCATGGATCACACAATATTAATAAGCTCGAGCGTAGAAATCTACCCATTTAGTGGAATGCACTGTGGTCCATCCTGGCAAATTCCAAATAGTAATTCCACTCCTCCAGACAGTTGTACGACCGCAAGTTTGACCACGGGCTTAGGAAGTTAAAATACCATCCGGCCTGCACTTTATAATATCTCAGAATATTCTGTCTTCTGTCTTCCTTCAGTTCAGTCTCCCTTGTTAACTTCATCAGCACAGACATAACCCACAGACATAAATTTATAAACTCATAGACCACCAGTCTTGTGCGTAAAAGAGTGATTTTTAAAAGCATGAGCAAGCAGTGAGCGAAATGATGAATGGCAGAATGCATGCCATTTGTTTACATGCGCTCTAAAAAGTGCTCCCTGTTTTACTCTTTTGTACTGCTGTCTCTTCTCTTCAAATGTTGCATCCGCAACCGTTTAGAATCTGCATGGGCCAGATTAGGTAAACAGAGGATTTTTTCACATTATTGGAAAATGGCTTCATAGCATTTTGTGGCTGGAATTCTCAACTGTGTCTTTTGGATTTAGTCGGGTGCCGCCTCGGCTACGGTTGTCCGTGTATGTGTTTATATGCCTGTGGGGCTCAGTATACCATTAAATTTTGTCTTTCTTTTGCCGATTGGGGTGCACTTCAGCTCAGGGCGTATAATTGAAAAAAAAAATGCATAAATATAATAGAGCTATATATAAAAACTAGAGCGCTGACTCGTGTACAAAGTGATGCCTGCTGGGCGCATCCATAGGTTTGTGCACAAACCTATGGGAAATTCGAAATTGGTACGGCTTTTGTACGCTATTTGCACATCTGCGTCTGTATCCTAAAACGACACGCCAACAAAGCCGATACGCAAACAAGGTTGAACACACAATCAGTAAATGAACATTTTATTTTGCTCTGCGCAAAAAAAACACAAATGCTGCACATGAAGTTTGCCATGACGTTCATTTAATCGGATTTTATCACTACCCGATGCGCACGACAGCTGGTGCCCCAGAGCCGTCAACTCACTAACACTGAAAGAATTAAGGGAACGACTATCTAATTTAAGTTAGCTGAACTTATTCGTCGAAACTTGGACAGCCATCGAAAGATATGCATACAAAATCGCACGACCGTTCCCGAAAGTTAGGGAATCAACATTCGTTTTAAAATATATATAAATAATCATGCACCATTGCTCTGTATGTGTGCACCTTATTCAATAGACATACTGACATTAGCGTATGTTGTACTTGAGTGTTGCATTTAGAATACATAATTCGATATCGCACAAGGATTCAATTGTCTGCACCCAGGACGGCGTCAAATTTTCTGCGCGTGGAGAATGAGAAGGGCGCCACCACTGATCTCTGTTCGCCACGTTTGGTTGGCGCGGCGCATGCACAGCGCTCTCGTTTTGTGTATGAAACAGCGCCACCGCCGCTGCAGGCAATGAATTGCGACAACGTTGATTGGACAGCCCTCAAACTCCAAGGGCCGGGTGCTCCCATTCACGTACGTATGTACCAAAGATTGTATAGCGCCGCGCAGCGGCGCTATACAATCTTTGGTATGTACTATGCAGAAAATTCAAGATGGCAGCGCCCATGTGTTTGATAGCCTGACATGTTTAGCTAAATGTCACTTGTATATCAACCTTTTTTGAATGGCATTCGAGTTAGAATTCATGGGATAGGTATATTTTATGTTATGTACATACTGTTTTTGGTTGGCCGGTGACCAGGTGACAGTTTCTTTTAAAATCATGCAAAATCAACTGTTCGTCCGATTCGTTCTCTCCACATGCTCAACGAGCCCGGCAGCAAGCATGGCAAGTCGACTCTTGGTCTTGTCGAAATCATTCGCTAGAAATGTATCACTAACACGTTCCTTGCCGAGGCCTACAAGAGCTCAGTGTTCTGTAATTACTAACGGCTACCTCACGAAGGTCTCTAGATTGCAGTTGACTCCAGCGTTTGGTCAACTGCTGAATCATGTGAATCAGACATGTCAGAACTGCTCTCCAGTTCCACTAATTCCAGAGAATTTTCAGGTAAGTTATGTGAGTTCTGAGGTTATGTTGTTGGACTGGCTTGGAAAACCAGCTTTATGACTCATGAGCTGCCTTGCTTTGACATACAAGTTGGCATGGTTGGAGTAATTGCAGAATCCCTGCCACTTTAAAAATGACCCCTGGAATGACTGGCTACGTGGGTACAAGGTGAAGATCGCTTGAGAAGAGTGTGACACTTTGATCTGTACCTTGTTATGAGTTTGATCATGAGGGGTGGTGGAGTATTCTGCATTTGAGCTTACAAGTTCAATTCATTCCTGTGGAGTTATTGAATTTGATTGTTATACATCTGTATGTTATAGGCCAGTAAGGATGCTAAGGCTGTTTTCCAACACCAGACAGCCATGTCAACTTGCCATCTGACCATGGTTATCCCTAGTCCGAGTAACTTGGATTGCGTGACCATGTCCAAATGTTAAACACGGCGATTTGTAGGGTCCAAGTTACGCGGACTAGCTTACCCCAGCTTTATTTTCCATCACCATGATCACTGTCTAAGCACATACACCATAACTTGAGCAGTGTTAAGCATGCATTATTGTTTTCTCGGGATAATACAGATGCCACTTGATACCCAATGCATAAACCTTGTCAGGCTGGTCTGAAAAACTTTGTTTTCCACGTGAATACCTCAAAAGTTTTACCACATAAGTTTGACTGATGGCTAATATTATAGGTCACTGCATGCAGGGAAAATTTGTGGTGTCCATAAATTATATGGAATTCTTTTCCTTTTCTTGTTGCACAGTTTTTCATTTAATTTTTGGCCTAATTTTTTGTATGTTGTGGAGGGTGTATCTAATTTACTCATCTGAGTGCTTATTTACTCTTATTAATTTTCTCTTGATAAACAGAATACATGGCAGTTCCAGTCACTGCGAGGGCTCTCAACATCAGCCCCTGTCCAGGGGATTTTCTCAAAGTCCGCTGAGAAGAAGTTGACTGAAGACAACCTCATCTATACAGGACCGCTGAGCAACATCGTGAAGATGGTCAAGCTCTTCTCACTTTCCACCAGCGGCATTTCCCTGCTGATCCTGCAGGCACTGTTCATCTCGGGCGAGTCTGGGTCCATGAAGCTCCTGGGTGGCTCCATGGCCTCACTGCTGTTCCTGACCCCAATTCTTCTCCACTGGGTCTCCAAGTCGTATGCCACACAAATTTACTATGACCAGGCTACCGACACCTATACAGCGAACACTGTTGGGGTCTTCCTGGCCACTATCAGGCACGACTTCACCACCGCCGATGTGGAGATCCCCGCTGTGCGCAACCTGATGACATCCATTCTGGTCAAGGGCAGACCTCTGCTGATCGACCCCCGAGCGTTCATTAGTCCCAATCACTACAGTCACCTCATGGGATACGACAAGCTGCCCGACGATATGTCGGCAGAGGAATTGAAAAAAGTCCTGGCAGAGTTTTCAGAAGAAGAACGTAAGGACTGAGAATACTGTCAACTGGACGAGCAAATCTTTTTGTAGGATTGGAGGGGTCCCTCTACTAACAGCTAATAAACATCAGGAAATCACTTTTAAAATGGTTTGAGTCAGTGTGGCATGCAGCTTTTATCAGCACCCGTAGACTAGTAGCGAAATTGTGGGGGTGATAACGAATTTCAAACGCTGTCCAACCTGTAACCTACTTCTAAGATGGCGGCCATGTCCATGCCTCTAGCTTTCTGTGAAGCACAACTATTGCTTCACCGGTGCGCAAAGAATTTCTCGAGGGTAGCGGATGGAGTTGCAGGAGCCATGAAATGCATTTTTAACTCTGAAAGATTTGTGACCGTAAACAATTTTCACACTTTTTTCATATGAAACTTTTCCACTTTTAGCAATGGCTGTGCTTTTTCCTTGTACATGTACCTGAGACTGCCAAGGCACACACACTCTACAGTTTTCCATTAATTTTTTCTAACAAATCTCAAACCAAAAATTGTAGGCCTCTGAACATCTTTTCATTGACTGAATCAAGAACAAAGGGAAAGAGTAAATCCACAGCACAAAAGGGAACTATTCTTAATGCTGCGAAAGAACAGTGGAGTTCCTACCCAAGATTTAATCACTGCATCACTCATAAATTTGGCGATTTCTGTTCAGAACAGAATGGGCCTGAAAAGACATAAGAAATGGAATGCGCATTTCAAGGATTTCATTTAAAAAATGTTTCAATTACCCAGGTCCCAATAAAAAGTCAGCTAAAAGGTTTTCACACTTTTAAAGCCAGCCTTTTTGCATGTAGATGCCTGATGCTCTCAGGGAGATGTACATGTATAACCTAAATTATTTCCAACATACAGACACGCATTGGTGAAAGACTTCAAGTACCACCCCAACTATGATCTGTGGGATAAGGCCTATCATGTTTGCATGTACATTGCGTGTACCTGTTGCCATTACATATATATATTATCATTGCAGTGCCCCATGGTATTTGCTTAAAATGCACTCTCTTCTGAAGGTTCAATTCTTCTCATCACATTCTTTAACCCCATAGTCCCTGTTCTGCCTGTTACTTCCAACACTCTCAATGTATGAGTTTCATAGATTTGCCAGGGAACACACTAATAGACTGTAATAATGTTAACGAAAAATGCTAACCAAAACATGACTAAATCCTCTGAATTCAATATGATTTCACACCCTCTCTAGGGAGTAAGGGTGAAACAAAAAGTTTAAAGATCAATCACTTTGGTATTTCACTGTTTCATTTTTTTAAATTCAATTTAGTTATATTTAAAACAGTCTATTATGTAAAACTAAATAAAGATTGCTATTGATGTCAAAAGCACAAGTTGAAGTCCTCCATATCAGGCAAACTGAAAACGAAAGTTGTCGGGAGCATCATTCCAATAGAAGTCGGTTCTGATGACGTCACACTATGGCTCTACCATTATACGACTCATTGTCTCGGGGCAAATGCCAGTGTGCTAAGTGCTGTGCTTGCTCACACTTAACTGTGAATTAAAAGAAGTGGGACAGTGAGAGCGACTTTGTATTTCTCTTCCATTAACAATGTCGATCAACACTGGAACGTATGATAAAGTTGAACCGTCCCAATTCAAACCAGACTTGGGGGTCATGAATTTCAAGCAGATGGCCAATTGCCAAGAATGACATCTAACCCACTTTACCCATTTTTTGTTCTTTTCTGTTGTTCTATAAAGCCCCCTATTACAGCTGTAAGGTAATATAACTCTGAGGATGAGAGCTGTTTCCTGACATCAGATTGCTAGGTTTGTTTGCCACCCTCATCGACACATTTTGTTCATTGAACTCTTGAGCATTCTCATGGTGGAACTGAACTTCCCAAGTCACCATTTTTTTTATAAATGTGAAAAGAAGCTGCCACGTTAGTCATGATGTGGGTAACAATGACCAATTCCCTTTAAAATAACCATTTGATGTCAAGGCAATGTGATTGATCTTTAACCAGAGCCTTGATTACAGAGAATGGATCAATGGAGTCCAGCACAGTGGTTGATCCAGTGGGACGGTTTGAGGCTCATTCCTTGTAAACATGGGTTGAGTTCGACACGTTTACTGGGCCAATGAGGTAAATTCAGCAAGAATTTGAAGATACTTTTTTTTTAATTCATAAACATCAGCTTTGTAAACAGGAAATGTTAAACATTTTCCTTCACACTTGCAGCAGCTTTCATGGGCCTGCGGTAGCACCAGAAAAAGGTATCTGAAACAGTTCTGCATGTCTTTCTCTTACATAAATAAAGAGAAAACCTAGACCTTCAAATAGTGTATTACAGCTTGTAATATCACTTGGTTATAATTAACATGAAAGTCCTCATTTGAAGAATGAAATCTTTATATTTAACTGGGTGGCTCCATGGCCTCACTGCTGGTAGCTCAATGACTCTAAGAAATGGTAAACAGAACAACAAACTCCTTTGCATCTGTGCCTTAAACATCATAAAATTAATACATGCGTTCATGTGCTATGGAATTCTAGAGAGTAAAGATTAATTCACAATTCACTTAGATGTGCATGTTTTCCTTGTAATTTTATTGGCCCAAACCTTAATGTAGAAAATCATGCATTTTTTTTTATTAAGAAAGACGTCAAGCCATGCTTGGTAAAATTCAACCTAGTAAAATTCTGCATTGGAATGTACTATCTTGAAAAACTTACAGCCCTCAAAGATAACATCTCTGTTTTGGTTATGAATATGGAAAATTGTGTTAGCATGGAAGCCCCTGAAACACTAGGAAATGTCACAAATATTAAAAATAAAGGTAAATAGGACACACATATAAAATTGAAGGCTGTCATTACATCAAAACTTTCTAGTGCACAGGCCCTTTAAAATTTACGAAGTGACAACTCTATCAGAGAATTCAAATGAACTGCCCTTCAAATGTGATGTATTGACTCTTGTAAAACGAGCTCTTTAATGACATCATAAAAGAATTTTGAATTGGAACAGCAGTCTGATTTCTGCTACTCTGAAAATCCTTATCCATCAGTTAAAGGTATTTGAGATTACTTAAAAGGAAATAAATCATCTTGATGTTGATTTAAAAAAATACATTTGTAAGTACAAAGACAGAATAATCTGCTCAAGTCAAGATAAAATAGTACAGGCGGTGGTATACCTGCAAAGGTGCATGTAAGTTCTTGGGAATGCAGGTGTAAACTTTTCTGAACTGCATGTATTTGCCTGGTGCCCTCACAAGTTTTGTATTTTTCCAGTTTGAGGGCTGGCTTACTTCCTCAGTGGATGTGTCACCATTTTTAAGAATGGGTCAGCCGTCCTTCTCAAGCCATGAAACTGGCAGGTCATTTTGGAGCCATCTTGGGGCCCATTTACAGAAGTGGTAATGGAAAGTGACAGCAGAAACAGTGTATTGCACCAAAACACGATGTAGAAACCTTTCTTCTTGTGCAAATTATTGTTGATAACATTCCACACCAGCAATGGTGCCCCCATCAAAGCCATGATGAAGGCTCTCACCAAGCATGTCTGTGACACCATACCTAAACAAGAAGCTAAATGTACAGAGCATAGAGAGGTATCCATGGAAAAATTGCTCAGGTTTCAAATTATACAGGTAAACTGCCCTGTCTCACATTTTGCTGTCTAAAAAGGAAACCAGTGTGCTCTTTGGTTTTTATTGTGCGAAACTGTGTAAATGGGCCTTAAAGGCAAATTGATACTTGCTGCGTATTCACTGTGTACGCTGCACGAGGGTCTGTTTTGAGGTGTCTGCAGTGTGTTAGGGAAAGCGCAGTGTGTAATGAAAATGCGCACCCTTGCATGCAGTTCGTAAAAATAATGAATAGTACGTACCAACAAATGTATGCGTATTCGGACAAATTGATATTATTTAACTTTTGTCGGATATGCACAAGCAGCTGAGACTTGAGAAAAGATGAAAATGAATGTCAGATGCGGCATTTACATGATGCGCTGCATGTGTGCAGACACAGTGAGTATGAACCAACCCTTACTGCATACATGTATATGTTATTTCTTATACTTTGAGGCCAATCTTATGAACCTCTCACCTAAGCAATGCCATTACACATATGAATTTCTCATAGAGAGCTTTGTGAAGTTCCTTGATTTTTTTCCCCTAACACAAATTTCCCTTATGCGTCATTGCAAAATACTGACAAGTGTTCATTTGCTTTTCTATGACATTTTAATGTGACCAACAATTTCATTCAAATTTGGTATTGGGTCCCTCACCAGGGTAGAACTTAAATACATACTCATCAAAACACCTGTTGTCATTTCAGCAATTTTCTTCGCCTTGCAATTAGTAAATTGGAGAAACTGCTATCAATAACCACTGGGAAATTGATAATGTAGTAGAAATACTGTGAATTCCCATTTTATAAATTTATTGAATGGGATGAAATTAAACTTTACTTGAAAGTTTGTTGCAGTTGGCCAGGATCACCATATACTAATATAACAATTGAAGTTTAGTGACCAGACATTTTTCTGTTAAGAGATGTGGTTATGTGGCTGTATTCTTTGCCTGGTGGTGTGAGGCACAGTAGTACTTCTTGTGGGCTATGAAAGTGGACAGACTGCTGAAAGAGATGTTGCAGTTCCGGCAGTGTTTTACCGTGGGCTTGACGCCTCGCAACAGGGGCCTAGAGTTGGCTGTGTTCAGGTAGGAGCTGAGCGTCATGTGCCTGGAGGGGTTGGACTGTCTGGGGGACGAATGCCTGTACATGGGGATGGTTAGTGGGGTCACTGTGGTGGTGGGATGCCTGACCTCGGATGGCCTTGGGGGGAGGTTTGGTCTGTTTGGGGCACTTGTTAAGTGTGACTGGAGAGATCCGATGGATCTGCTGATTGTGGAAACAGTCCTCGGTGATTCCCCAGAGTATCTCTTAGAGGCTGGGACACTGTCCTGTGGTTCTTTCTTAATTGTGATCATGGTTTGGGAAACTGCTTGGGAGTTAGTGTGGGGTGAGGGTGTAGATCTGCTTCGCATGTTTTCAGAAAGCATCTGTCTCGTCCCGGAAGACACCACAGTCTTTACGCTGCTGTATGTGCATGTGTCAGAGGTCGTAACTGAGTCCATGCCTGTGGGTTCTTCTTTTATAACAATGCCATTTGTAGTCAGGCCACCAATGTCTATGGTTGTGGCCAAAGGATGCCTGGATTCTTCGTCCAATATCAGATTTTTCTTTCTTTTGATTGGAGGGAGGGATCGTTCCTTGTCAAGTTTGTTGCGGTCTTCTGGCACTGCTCGTTTCAGTTTGGGAGTTTTACACCACAGCTGGTTTGGACTGCGCATGCCTGTTGAGCAGGACTGCTCATGTGTAGCATTTCCATTAGGAAGAGCAAATGTGCTACTGATTGTGTGCTCTGATGATGAGGCACAGGAAACTGCGTGGTGTGTAGTTTGTGGAGTTGCAGCATCACTGCCTGCTGTGCCACTACTGGAAAATGCTTGGGAAGAATTCAATTGACCAGAAATGCTGACCTTCGGTTTTGAATTTCTTGTTTCAAAGTGACAAGGTCTTGCATTCAAATTTGGTGACTGACTGGCAAGGTTGTCTGGGCTAAAGCTTTTATTATGAAGAGGGCTGCTCATTACTGTGGGTGGTTTCAATACATTATACTGCTTGGTTCTCACCAGGCCTTTCTGTGAGTACATGTGGCGGCTGGCACAGTAATACTGCTTGTGTACCACCAGACTCTCCTTCTTGCTGAAGGAGATCTTGCACTCTTCACAACGGTGGGACTGCCGCTCAAGCAACTGGGCTCTGATGTGCTGGGATGACAGTTCTGTTGTGATCACGGTCGGTCTGCAGCCATTAGAATTTGAGGGATCAGACAGTGGGGGAGACTTGGGCTTTGTGCTCAGGTCCAGTGGCTGTTCTGCCCGGCTTGATCGGATCACAGGTATCTTCAATTTGCCATCTAGCTTAGCAGCATCATTTTTTGGGCTCTGGGGGATGACTATTGGTGTGACCAGGACTAGCTGCGGTCCCTGTAGTATGGCACCCGTTGACAGAAACTGTCGCTTACCATCAAGGTGGATCATTTGTAAAGGTTGACCGAGCATTTGTCTGCTCTTGGGACTACACCTTGGGTTAGGCGAGGCCAAGGAGGCTGATGGTGTTGCACTCAACTGTGAGGTACTGTGCAGACTGACAACACTTCTAGGGCTAGTGTTGGTGTCCAGTTCGTTGTCATCAAATGGTGAGCAACCCGGTGGTACTACTTCAAAAGGGTAGGTCTCTCCAAGTTCGTCAGAGCCGTTTAAACTTCTCCTTGTGTTGCTTGTGTCCATTTTGTCGGACACGGCAGTTCTGGTTTTAATGCTAACCTGGGGTGGCGTATTTCCAGGTTTGCTGTCCCAGTTCGGTACAATCGACGGACTAGTGCTCTCAGCATGTCTACTTGCACAGTAGTACTGTTTGTGGGCCAAATAGTTTTTCTTGGACATGAAGACGATGTTGCACTGGTGGCAAGTTGAGCATTCAAGATGATGCTCGTCTGTTTTGGGGGCATGGGCATCCATGCCTCTGTCTGGTGTTTTCTTCCGAAGGCTTGTGTGGTGGGTCATGTGCTTCAGGAGGACTGACTCCCTGGATGTCACAAAGTCGCACTGGGGACAGGATAGTATCTCCTCCTTGGATGGTAACCGATTTGATCTTGCTCCTCCAACACAAATGCTAATGCCATTGGGACTCTCCGCTCTGATCACTTTGGCTGGACTGCATCTTTCCTCTCTAGAGGGAGTTGCCATCATTTCAGGGGATGCAAGGTTTGTGGCATAGTTATTTTCCAGATTGACAGGACTGCTGGAAATGTGTCTCATTCCTGGAGACAATACAGACTGCATGCTACTGTTTTGGAGTTTGTTCCTGCACCTTTTGGTGGCCGTTGCTGTCACTTCATACCTATTTTCTTTTTCATCCCCTCCATCTACCACGACTTTCTCAATGATCTTATAGCCAGAGTCTGGGTCACTGCTGTTGCCAGGCAAGGAGCAGCAGCTCTCTTCCACCTGAGTCAGCTTCACATGGGAGAAGACGTGCTGGCACAGGCCCTTCCGGTCCTCACTGATGAAGTTGCAGAATTTGCAGAGGTTGGCCACCTCATCGCAGTGCAGCAGCAGCATGTGACTCTCGCAGTTGCTCTGGCTCTCGAACGAGGATTGGCACAGCTGGCACACAAAAGTCTTGACAGTCTTCACGGTAACAGCTTTGGAATGCATGGCCGGCACCTCGCGAGTTTCTGTTGTCTGAACAGAAGCAGTTTTAACAGTAGAGTTGTTTGGTGAGACTGTCTGCGTGGTTGAAGTTGAGCGACGTCTTGAAGAAGGCATGGGTTTTGTGGCAGTACCGGGACAGTAGTACACTCTGTGAGCATCTAGGTTACTAGGGTTACGGAACTCAATGCAACAGAAATCGCATTTGAATGGAGGACCTGAAAAAGTAAAAGAACAAATTTTTGGATAAAATTAGGTCAGAGAAGCTCTACACATCTATACCTACATGCATAACAAAGGCAATTACATGTATACCCTTCATTCTAAAAAGGTCAAAATGTTGAGTTTGGACCTTTCAATTTCAAAAGAAAATAATGTAATAAACCTCCATTAAAAAATTCTTAAGTAATCCCTGTCATTTGACTGGTAGACTGTGATCACGTCATGGAATTATTTGTCCCACTGTATTGCACAGCTGTATAACAAAAACGGTATGTTCTATTCATTGATTAAATTTTTCCTTCCATCTGTCCATTCGTATGGTCACACTCTTGGTTGTGCTATAATGTGGCTGTTCACACAAAATGACACACAATAAACTTTGCTTGTGCGTGAGAGAGTGCACTTTATTAACAAGCAATGACATCATGTGGGACCAACAAATGACATGCACATGCAGGAATAGTCTGCATGTGGTGTAGAACGTACTTGACCCTATTTAATTTAAATTTGAGAAGGGTTGACTAAAAAGGCCAACAAGGGCCGGCAGACAACTTACCCTCCAAGAGGCCTTTATTAGCAGGCTGTGGTGATGGCATAATGAGAGGACTAGGAATTTTGCTCAAAGCACTAGTTGTCAAATCACCATCGTCTGCCTCTACTGTATTTACATCTTCCAGGGGTGTGCTCAAGACCAGGAAAAGTTCCTTAGCCTTGGGAATATGCTTCAGGCTTTTCAGGTACAACACTCCATCTGCATTAAACAGTCAGTTCAAAAATTGAATATTTTAACTTGGTTGGCCATGGATGATCTTGAGGTTGATCCACACTTATGGAATTTTAAAATGCCACTCATTACAATGAGAACAAACAAGTTTCCTTTAACCACTTGCTGCCGGGGGACCCATTTTCGAGCACATAGGCTTTATACATGAAGCCGGGGAGCCCAAAACCAGGACAAAAGAGCTGGG